ATTTTTTCTAATTTTCACGCAGTTTTTTCTCCAAAGGCATTTTAAAACCGAATTACATGTACATGCATACAGCGTAGCGAGAACTTATTGCATTTATTTGAACGAAGCTCTTTGCCGTGAATTTGCTCGATGAAGCGATCACTACGTATTCGTATACGGATGGGTTGGAGGCATCAGTTCATGCTCAATGTTCTGGTCAGCTAACCAGTGATAAAGATATTTCTGTGTAGCGAGCAGAAAATATTACTTTAAAATTGCCAGAATCGGTGCCCACCGCTACAATCTCAATTTAGTTAGATATTTGAGTCTTCTAATGCAGGACACAAGACCTCGCTTCGGAATAGATTCGGAATAATATGTTATAATTACGATTATTAAAGGAAAGTAAACTACATGAATTGCAAACCAACGTGACATCACTATTCGTAGGTGGAAAGCGACTGGGCGAAAACATGCAAGTGCTGAGAACAACACAGTCTTACAGCCTCAAATCATTGCTTGACAGTCTTAGTTAGGAAACAAGTTAGGAAACATGACAGTTCACATGTAATATGCTTAATTCAAGTGCCTACGATTAAATGAAATGTGTTCAGATGTGATATGCCAATTTGAAGAACAAACATACCTGTTCTAACTAACTAACGTATGTTGTATCATCAGTGTTACCATATACTTCAATTCGAATTAGCTGTGTTGATTGAGTGTTGTAAAGGAACATTGGTCGAGTGTCTCCGTAGACATCTTCACAATTATAAAAAACAAGCTGTTCAGATCACAAACCCATTCAGTTACTGTCCCATGCATAGCACGGCGAGGACAAGAACCCATTGTTATATATGTAAGCTTCACCGAAGACTCTTCTGCAGTATCTATGGCTACACAATCGAAACACGTATCAGAAAAATAGCTGAAATAAGAAATATGGTGAGTTTGTTTATTGAACCTCGATGGAAACAACAAAAAACGCCTCCAAATATTCACTGACCTCCTTCTAATGTACTTGTTGAGGTTTATAGTATGTCCAGTCATCTGTTATTTTTTCACAAAAGAAAGTTGGATGTTTTATCATCTTCGTTTTTTTTTATAGAAAAAATATTGTTTAACGGTTCTCTTTTATTCTCCTCGTTAGCTACCAAAAAAATGCTTGTTTCTGATCGAATTGTTGAATCAACAGTTTTCATTTCAGAAGATTAATTTTGCCGATGTAATATAAGAAAAAATGTAGCAATTTCAGACTACCGTACGAGTACTTACACCCTCTCCCCATTTGTATGTTTGTTTTTTACAAAATACAGTTTTAGACACATTGTTTCATTACCCAAAGTTTAAAAATATGTTTTTAATAAAATTGATCATTTTTTAATCCCCGATAGAGTCCCATCAACAAATAGTAATATTAGTTTATTAATATAGTTTATCTTGTAATTAGGTGGGTACCCCTAATATTTGTTTTTGTTCACGATCTTGTATACGAATAAGCAATCTATTCGCAAAATATAAAAAGACTGCAAGTCGGTGATTACAACAAGTTGAAATCCCAACAACTACGTACCACACAATTACACTAGATTTTTATGCAAGATATAAATGAAGCGTTCAGTAGTGCACTTAGAAATCGGCTTATGGCAAACTGCACAATTTTATATACAGTCCTCTCTGCAGTTGCGATGGAATATATACACACTGAAGCGCCGCTCTACAAACTTCATTGATTCGCTGAATACCCCACCGAGAGGGCGCTCATTCAGTGTAATTTAAGCCCGTTTTATAAAGGGCGGCAGTCGTCGCGCCGCGTCCTGTTCGATATGGAACTCATAGCGACGTATACAAATACATTGTTTATTTACATGAAATTCGAACACGCGCTGCTCGACGACCACCGCGTTTTAAGGAATAATGTCACTTACATTGCAGTCGGGTGTGTCGTCTCACATGACGGTTTCATGCAGCAACGCTGAGTATCGAAGGCTATTTTAACATTTTATAGTAAATGTACCCACTAGAAATGTGAAGATATCGAATGACGCGTGTTACTTGGGAGATTGTTCAGTCGACGATAGCTTCTTATTCTATACGGTATTTCAGTGTGGGAATTGAATCTCAAGCGACGATAACACACGCTAAAACACAGACTCGTGGGTAGACGCTTGTTTGTGAACAATGACACGCTATGACCATCTGACGCATGCGCAGGTGACGACTTCCCCGCTTTAATACTAAGAAACAATTCTTATTGATAATAACATCCCTGGTTTGCCGTCTGTTATTTATTTCAGGCCACATAGTGCAATTTAAATCTTAAATTTAGGAGTTTTCGAGAATTTACCTTATTTATAGAAATTAATACATATGGGGCTTTCGCATCTGCTGATTACCCCCAAACATTTATTCACGAATTTTCATTAAAAGCTGATGGTACTTGAGATGATACGTAGGAAAGCACGTACGTGTGTTGATTTCACATGATGTTATACCGATGTGCGTTCTTTTGGGGTTGAGTCGCCCAGTTCCGCGACAGTGTAAGTGACCCACACATACCTCTGTCATTCGAAGAAAGCGGAACTGTTAAACATTGGCTAATGTATATAAACTTCTGGATTACCCTAAAGCACCTATGTATCAAGTTTCATCCGATGAGCTGGCAGAATTAATGCGATCACTTGACTTTATATGGTCATTTAATATGTTATTCCTCTTGTCAGTTGCTCCAAGTATAGCATGGGTTGCATTAGTTACCTAGGTATTTCAGTTAAGCACACTAATTAGGTCACATGACCATATAGTCATTTGATATGTTAGTCATAAATCTTGTCCAATGCCGCATCATATCATTATAGCCTTGATTACTCTCCTATCTGAAAAGTTCCCTAGATATTATAATTATGCATATTAATAAGGACACGTGACCATATTTGGTCATATGATATTGTCACAAGGCTTGTTTTCAGTTAATTAATAATGGTAGCCAAAGGAGGACCAAAAGACCTTGCCTTGTGTTGTGGGTTCTTTACCCATTATTGGGGTGACCAGGTTTGGAAATGTACACGAATTCGACACACGCTCGCAATGACAACACGAAGATGTATCAACTTTCAACTCAATATTTAATAAGACAACTATAAAGAAAGGAGGAATAATACAAAGCGGGCATATTCGGAACAACTGATATATACACACGGCTTCAAGCTCCGGTCACGAGTGACAAGTGACTGGAGTATGTAGAGCCAAAAGTAAGAAAATATGTAAAGTTTAACAGAAGTATCGATTTATTCCAACTGTAAACATCTTAACTATTTGGTGTTTCAACCAAGTGAACCGTTCACACCAAAGTTGGCAAAAGTATTAAACCCAACAAAGCATTGAACAAAATAACACACTACGACTCTAAAATAATTCTGAAATAATCATTATGCATACCATGTCGACAGTACAGTTCATGTGGGAGCGTAGATCTGCTGTGCACGCTGTCGAAGTGGAGATGGACACGCCCTATTCCAGCTGGCAACGGAGCATTGAACCGGTTACACTCGACGAACCAAAGGCTTCTTGGCAAGGTGGTTTAGATTAATGTGTCAGTTTACTCAGCTCGCAAAACCATTGGTGACATCCACTAGAAGACTGCATCCATGGCGATTTGTTGACAAATGATAAAAGAGCCAGGCCTTCCGACGCACGAATGATGTGCACACTCAGCAACTGCGTGGCAGGAAAATACGTTGACAATAGATTTTTCATTCATTAAATACCATGCATGAATTAGCATAACAGACAATTAGCATGTAGATCCTTTTCAGTAAGCAATTAGTTGGTTCGTTGACATTGGTGGCGTCCTTATTACTCCACTTAAAATTAGCAGACGTACGTGCATTTCACTTTGAGTAGGGAATCGACGTCCCACATACTCAACACAATTCGTTGCTGGGATTATTCTGCCCAGGTTATATTTATCATTGCAAATTTGCATGCTTCATGGAATTAATTTTATAATAATTACATTACTATGATCTGAAATTACATATGTATTTTGGAACCTTGTGACAGATATGTTAGTCATATCTTTTGTCTGATGCATTCATTATGACAGTCCTGCATATTAAGAGGTCACATGACAACATATGGTTATCTGATATATGAGTCTTACGGCTGGTCTTATATGATAACAGAGTCATATCTTTTTTCCGTTGTTCATGTTGGCAACAGTCCTTAGAATATGACTGATATGCATATCAATGAGGCCATGTGACCATATATGGTCATCTGCGATTTTAGTCGTAACTCTTGTCCAGTGCCTTCATCGTGATGGCACTGGATGTACGGGTGTGTCTGAAGTATTACAGTTATTAATATTATTGAGATCAACATGGTCCCTCCCATCATCATCATTATTGTTGACTATGAAATGAAATTCCAATTCCCTATATTAAAAATATAATATGTACGAAAACATATATTTTCTGTTATTGTTGTTCGACACTCCATACTGTAGATCAAATTGTATTATGGTTTTTGATACATTTGCAAGACACAAACAGTATTCGTTAGATGAAACACTGTCAATATAAAGTATCAACAAATTACTAAAATTACATGCTCTCCCCGATGTGTTGTATAATATGGAAAACTGTTTTAAAAATATATATAAAATTAATACACGCAGTTCGCAACCAAAATATGTTGTTGTGTTCTTCAAGTTGAGAAACAAATGAAAGGCTTAAAATTGGCTAATTAGTATGTACATTAGCTAATCATTATGTACATTATGGATGGTTCTGAGATATAAGTAGAACACACAGACACATAGTACATACCCACACACACGCAGAATATAAGCTGCAAAGACCATACACTTACATAAGTGGGTGACAGACAAAAATACATTGTTCTCATAACGTGAGAGTTAATAGCAAATAAACAACTTATATGAGGCAGCGAAACTGGCATAAAGGAATTATTGTTATTCTGACTTGATCATAGACGGCATAGGTTTCTTGGAGGACAAATCCGAAAATTTGTATGACACCGAACATATATTTATTTGTAGAGAGCATTGTGGAAAATCTGCTAAATCCACATGTTTTAGAACGAGAAAATAATATTTTTATAGCACCCTCACCTGTTTATTATCCTACACACGTCAAGCACGGTTGCTGGAAGAACCTAGTTACAGTGTCACAAAGCGATGGTCAGTATTTACTGATTGATTGATTGATTGTTTGATTGATTGATTGATTAATTGACTGAAACCGTGTCTACTTAACCCTATGCCACCAAACTTTTTAGATTTTGAGTCCGCACCATATAAAAATATCACCCAGGTATGTACATTCTATTCTAAATTTTTGCAGTGACATGGTATGATTATTCAATTTTCTTCATTCCTTATACAACGAATAAATATTAATTATAAACTAAACTATGAAACGCATATTACTTTCCATTTTAGTCTATATTTTGTTCTATGATAACTTAAATGAAATGAGCGTTGCTATGACGACTACACACGTGGACATGTTGATCACAGTAGAGCTGCCGGTCACGTCTGGATGAGTAATTATGATGACATTTGGACGCTCTGCACACCCATCATCGTGCGTAGTAAACATGGCAGTGGTCGCCACAGTAGTCGTGGGCATAGGACAATGTATGACTCCAATATCACCGCCATCACCAAATGGACTACATAGTAAATTATTCGAGTCATCGTCGTCAAATGTTGCGTTGACACCTAGAGATACAAATATACACATACATAAAAAAATGAGTAGTTTACAAACAAAGTTAAACGACTGATTGTTATCGGTGAACAGAGCGTCTGCTGAATATTATTAGTTGTGTAGATGCAACTTTCGTTCAAGATTTATACATATACACGATTAGAATCGACTAATCGTGTAGTTATTTTGCTATTACTCAATACCCGAGTTGGGACTGTTTATGAAGTCAATTTTCCATGATTTTAATATGTTGTAACATGTACTCAGAAAACTATTTCGCAATACATTTTTCTTAAAATTTGCCCACGTTTAAAACAATCTTATTAATTATGTTCCAATGAAAGTGGATTTATGTTCATTTTTATGTTCATTTTTATGTTTTTATATTTTAACATTTAATGCAAATAATTGATAATGAGTTCAATGCAAACATTTAAGTCATATGTGTAACAATATCTACCTTTTTGAAGTTTCACACAAAAATACCGATACTCTTCACATTGTATCTCCGGGATTAGTATGGTCACGTTCAAATTAGTAAACGTCACTTCTCCCCATTCAACAATACCGGTACTGACGTCATCACGTGTGTACTCTAAGGAGTCGGTGAGGTCGCTCTTCACCGTTGCCGACTCGTCTGGCGCATTTGCTATGAAGACGGATGAGAACACAATGTTGTCTAATTCGCTTGTTGATCCAGGTATTTTGGTACCGCCAGCGTTTTTGAGGGCAACATCGAATGTCACGTTCACGGCTATGTCAACGCTGAAATTGGCTGGTGTTGGACGAATCACTTTTATTGATGTGGGAACAACGTCTGGAAAAATAATTGTTTAATGATGAATATATGACGCAAATACGTAAAAAGTGCATGTCAGGTAAATACAATATATAAAAGCGGTAGTTGGCAATCATAGACTTTTTATAGACATAATTACCAGTACCACTGTTTTACCAACTACAACTTTTTACCAACTACCACTTTCCAACTAACTATCACCTTTTACCAACCAACTCTTTCTTTACCAACTACCACTTTATTATCCACCTCAACTTTTCACTAACCACCACTTTCTTACCAACTACCACTTTTTTAACCAACTACTTTCCTACTAACTTTCCCTTTTTACTACCAGTAAGTACCACTTTCTTATCAACTACCACTATTCTTACCAACTTTCTGTATAATACGTGCTGCATTTTGTGCGTCACGATTAGCAACATAGAATGTACTCATACGTAGGAAATAGTTAATGTTCATTTACTTTTTTTTCATCACGCAACCATGTACAACCAATAAAACAGTCAACCGTCGACTGACACTCATAAATTTTTCATAAAATACCTGAAGGACAGTTGGTCAAACCTGACGCGTCCGGTCCATCAATGAACGGTAAACATGTAAAGTTATTTGTTGTTTCATTATCTGTGTAGTTTCCATGGTTTTCAATTCTAAGACATAAATGACTGTGGGTCGGGCATAGTGACGACGGATATTTCAAATTATACTCGAACGTGGGATAACGTTTGTCACTAGAAACGGCAAGCGCATTTGTTTTCGATTCGCCGCCTTTAAATGTAGTCACTTCGTAGGGGTCAACCATACTTCCCGTATCGCCCAATGCTGATATATACATCTTCACATGGAAGTGTTCCCCTATAACGGAAGCTGGCAGTTCCTCTGGGCCATTATTTTTCACATGAAATGTCAATAGCCCGATATCAGTTTCCACGTCTTTCATAAAACGAATGGCATCATTTTCGGCATCTGGACCGAGACAAAAGTACATACTCTGGAGAGATAAATCTGATTGAAAAAAAAGATTAAAATCAATCAATAATTAAAAAATAATCATGGAATACAAGTGAAACTTGTCCATTGTTGTTCACCATTAGCACAGTCACATAAAGTCACGAATGTATGTCAATATCTCGAACACGTGACTGTTGATGTAAGTATAGGTTAATTGGGCCGGGACGTATAGTATACTCATGTTTTGTAAATAAGATAAGATCTCGTTGATTTGTATTTTAACTTCAAGGTCAATTATGAATTCATTGCGTTGCAAGTAAAAAGTGTGAACAGTGTACTAGCCATAACAAATGTCTAAATAAATTACCTACCACATGTCAGTGCCGATATATTATGCGCCAATATGGACACCACAAGACAGAATATCAAATGAAAAGCGGCCATGGTAAACTATACAGCAAAGTAAGAAAGAAAAACAAAAAAAATGAGTAACCATGACAACTAAATACGTCAAATCATTAGTTCGAAAAGGCGCTGTACAATGAATTTGAGTCGGGGCATTCATCATACATTACAATACAGATGATATGTTAATTAATCACGCTAGGTACTAGCACAGGGAGCCCAGGAACTATGATCAACT